ATTTGCAGTGTGAGCCACCACACCTGGCCCCAGCTATTTTTTTTTTTTTTTTGTAGAGACAGGATCTTGGTCTGGTTCAGCCTGGTTTCGAACTCCTGAGCTCAAGTGATCCGGCTGCCTCGGCCTCCCAGAGTGCTAGGATTATAGGCGTGAGCCACTGTACCCAGCCAAGTATGATATTTGTTTAAGGTTGAAAACATGTAAACTACTCTTCAGAGTCTTAGGGACTCATATAAAAGTACAAAGAAACCTGACGGAAGGACAGTCCATCTCAAAATGGAGCTTATTCTGGTGGAGGTGGGAGAAGGATGTGAAGGGAGGGGCCTCTGGTGGCTTTATCTAGCAACTGGATTCATGTTTCATTTCTTGGCAGGACAGGGCTGCAGGTGTTGTTGGTATTACTCCTGACACTTTTACAAGATCTCAAGCATTACAAAATAACTTTTTTTTTTTTTTTGAGACAGAGCCTTAAACTCTGGGGCTTAAGCTATTCTCTTGCCTCGGCCTCCCAAGTAGCTGGGACTACAGGTATCTGCCACGACGCCCAGCTATATTTTTTGTTGCAGTTGTCATTTTTGTTTTAGCTGGCATGGGCCAGGTTCAAATCCACCAGCCTCAGTGCATGTGGCCAGCACCCTACCCACCGAGCTATGGGCACTGCCTCCAAAATAACTTTTAAAAATTCATCTGCTGGGCGGTGCCTGTGGCTCAGTGGGTAGGGCGCTGGCCCCATATACTCAGGGTGGTGGGTTCGAACCCAGACCCGGCCAAGCTGCAACAAAAAAATAGTTGGGCATTGTGGTAGGCAGCTATAGTCCCAGCTACTTGGGAGGCTGAGGCAAAGAGAATTGCCTGAGCCCAGGAGTTGGAGGTTGTTGTGAGCTGGGTACCGAGGGTAATAAAGTGAGACTCTGTCTCTACAAAAAAACAAAAACAGAAACAAAAACAAAAAAACCCCACAACTGCTAAAACTGCATAGAACAGGGCGGCGCCTGTAGTTCAGTGTGCTGGCCACACACACTGAAGCTAGTGGGTTTGAACCTGGCCCAGGCCTACTAAGACAACAATGGCAACCACAACAACAACAACAACAAATAGCTAGACGTTGTGGCGAGCGCCTGTAGTCCCAGCTACTTGGGAAGCTGAGGCAAGAGAATTGCTTAAGCTGAAGAGTTTGAGGTTGCTGTGAGCTGTGAGGCCACAGCACTCTACCCAGGTGTCACAGCTCACAGCAATCTCAAACTCTTGGGCTTACCAATTCTCTTGCCTCAGCCTCCCAAGTAGCTAGGACTACAGGTGCCCACCACAATGCCCGGCTATTTTTTGGTTGCAGTTGTCATTGTTCTTTAGCTGGCCCGGGCTGGGTTCGAACCTGCCAGCCCAGGTTTGTGGCTGGCGCCCTAACCATTGAGCTATAGGCGCCGAGCCCCTTTATCACTTTATTGTGAAGTGGGAAGGGCAGATAACTGCACCCAACTCCATGTGATTCACTGCCCTTGATTTAACTGCTTTCCAGAGGAAACAGCTTGCCCCAACTGGCCCCCCTGGTTCTCAGGCACAATAGCTGCTAGCAGAAGAATTCATTTAATCAGATTAGGAAGAGGTGTACTGGTTCTGCATACTCACGGCTCAGCAAGCATCATGGGTAAGGCATTCTCTTGTATCTTGGAAGGTCGATTGAAGCCCATGGCATAGACTCCCTGGAGAAGCTGTGGTTTTCTAGGAGGCCAAAGAGAAGAGCATGGATTCCTAGTAGCTGAAACTGCTTTAGAGGCCTAGAATCTTATCATTCCCTCTGTCTAGCAGAGAATGATACTTCTTACCTCTGTCAGACATATTTTCCTATGCCTTAAAAAGTTCTCTAAAACCAAACCAAATCACCATCTTCCCCTCTGAAATTTTAATCTGCAACTATTTATAATTCATAAAATACAGACTGCTTTCTTTTCTTGAAGAAACTCATGCTTTCAGCAGACCCACAAATCTAAGTTGGCCTTGGATAATAAGTGTTCCTTGGATACAGCAAAGATAATAGTAGTTACTAACTCATCACATAAAATTATAAAAAAATCTAAAACTAAATATTGCTTACTATACTAGATTTAGAAGTCTCTTTACAGTATGACATGCACATGTTAAAACTAAACCACAGTCCTTTTGTGTTCCACGGCCCTTCCAAAGCCAGCTGTGCAGATGCTTAGGATCACCAAGAGGCGAGAAAATTGATGAAGCCAGTTTCTAGTGGGTGATATACAGGAAACAGGTACAGCGGTTTGGCTGTCACACTGAGCTTACAAATGCTCAGATTAAGATGTCAGGTCTTGGGCAGTGCCTGTGGGTCAGTGGGTAGGGCGCCAGCCAGATACACCTAGGGTGGCGGGTTCGAATCCAGCCTGGGCCCGGCCAAAACAACAATGATGGCTGCAACCAAAAAATGGCTGGGCATTGTGGCTGGCACCTATGGTCCCAGCTGCTTGGGAGGCTGAGACAGGAGACTCACTTGAGCCCAGGAGTTGGAGGTTGCTGTGAGCTGTGATGCCCCGGCGCTCTACCCATGGGGAAAGCTTGGGGCTCTGTCTCAAAAAAAAAAAAAAAGATGTCAGGTCTTGGGCAGTGCCTGTTGGTCAGTGGGTAGGGCACCGGCCCCATATACTGAGGGTGGCGGGTTCAAACCCGGCCCCCAGCAAACTGCAACAAAAAAATAGCTGGGCACTGTGGGAGGTGTCTGTAGTCCCAGCTACTTGGGAGGCTGAGGCAAGAGAATCACCTAAACCCAAGAGCTGGAGGTTGCTGTCAGCTCTGATGCCACAGCACTCTACCGAGGGCAACAAAGTGAGACTCTGTCTCAAAAAAAAAAAAAAGAAAGAAAGAAAAAAAAGAAAAACCCAACCCTGCACGATGGCAAGTGCCTGTAATCCCAGCGGCTTCCAGAGGCTGAGAAAGTGAATGCCCACAGCACAAGTCTGAGATTGCAGTGAGCTATGACACCATTTTACTCTGCTCAAGGCATAGAGTGGGACTCTGTCTCAACAACAGCAACAAAAGTACAAAAACACCAAATTCTCATGTAAGTGGCTACATAACAATTATCAGTTAAAATCTTTTATATTACATTTACAATAAACTTTATGCTATCTCTAAATTAACAGGATGTTTAACAAAACCCATATAAATTGTTTTTCTTTTCTTTTTTTTTTTAATGAGACAGTCTCACTTTGTTGTCCTGGGTAGAGTGCTGTGCTGCCATAGCTCACAGTAACCTCAAACTTTTGGGCTCAAGTGATTCTCGTGCCTCAGCCTTCCAAGAAGCTGGGACTATAGGCGTCAACCACAACACCCAGCTATTTTTTAGAGACGGGAGTCTTGCTCTTGCTGGTCTTGAACCTGTGAGCTCAGGCAATCTACTTGCCTCAGCTTCCCAGAGTGCTGGGATTCAAGTGTGAACCATCTCGCCTGGCCTATTAAATTGTTTCTAAAGAAAAGTTAAGACCTTCCTCAGTGGTGAGCAAAAAAATAGAGAAAAGAAAAGTAAACCTAAGTCCAGATTTCTGTTCTGTAGGCTTTCCTTAGAGTTTAACTAAGGAAAGACTCTTTAAGAGGCAAATTCTTGTAACTCAGGCAGTTAGGGCGCCAGCCACATACACTGGAGCTGGCAGGTTCGAATCCAGCCCCGGCCAAAAAACAGCTGGGCGTTGTGGCAGGTGCCTGTAGTCCTAGCTACTTGGGAGGCTGAGGCAAGAGAATAGCTTAGGCCTAGGAGTTTGAGGTTGCTGTGAGCTGTGACGCCATGGCACCCAGGGTGACAGCTTGAGACTCTGCCTCAAAAAAATAAATAAATTGTTGGTTCTCAAAAAGCTGTGACACTTGGCAGCTTCTAATCTGGTCATCCAGGAAACAGTTACTACCCAAACAAGATTCAAATGATCCAACACTTCTACTGCCTCTTATTTTTACATTATTTTTCAGATTAATCCCAATCATTTTGGTACAAAACAAAGTATGTCAGGAAACTTAAGTTTCATTCTGTGTTTCCTTTTGCTACACAACTCAGAGAACTTGCCTTTCAAAGAGGACAATTCATCAGTGGTTGAATTGAGAACTTGAGTCTATGAAATAGAAGGAATTAGAAAAAACCCACTGGCTTGGCGCCTGTGGCTCAAATGGCTAAGGTGCCAGTCACATACACCTAAGGTGGTGGGTTCGAATCCATCCTGGGCCCGCCAAACAACAATGACAGCTGCAACCAAAAAATAGCCAGGCGTTATGGCGGGCACCTGTGGTCCCAGTTACCTGGGAGGCTGAGGCAGGAGATGCACTTGAACCCAGAAGTTGGAGGTTGCTGTGAGCTGTGATGCCACAGCACTCTACCAGGGAGATAGCTTGAGGCTCTGTCTCAAAAAAATAAATAAATAAAATAAAATTTAAAAAAACCACTGATACTTGAAAATGTCAGTCTCAGGAAGCAAGAACATTTACCTGCCCTGATAGTCAGAAGCAGACACAATAAATTTGTTTTTTTTTTTTTTTTT